AGACAAATCTTAATGCACATGAAAAATCTAATATCCAATACCACAATCTTAACAGAAGACCTTAACACCCTGATATCCCAAAAAAAAAGATCAAGCATATAAAAAATTAGCAAAGAAGTAGCAGAACTGAACCAGAACTTGGAAGAAATGGACTTTGTAGGCACAGACAGAGTGTTCACCCAATCATAACTGAATGGACAATTTTTTTTCAGCTGCACTCGGGACATTTTCTAAAGTAAACCACATACTAGTCCATAGGTCTTAAGTCTATGTAAGAAAACAGAAATTATGCCATCATATTATCTGATCACAAGGTCATGAAACTGGAAATAAATGACTAGAAAACCCAGAAAAATCCCATAAACACATGGAAATTAAACAACACCCTCGTCAGCAACCAATGGGTCACAGAAGAAATTAAACAATATCGAAAATTCAAACACAACTTTTTGGAATATATGGGATGCAATGAAAGCAGTTCTTAGAGGGAAACTTATAGCTGTGAATTCCAACAATAGGAAAACAGAATGGGAACATATAAACACCCTGCATCACAATCAACTAGAAAAGGAAGAACAAAGCAAACCCAAAGCCCAAAGATGGGAGGAAATTATAAAGATTAGAGCAGAAATTAATTCAATTGAGATGAAGAAAACAATTCAAAGAACTAACAAATCAAAGGGCTGGTTTTTTGAAAGACTAAATAAAATTGATAAGTCCTTTGCTAACCTCATCAAAAAGAGGAAAGAAAAAACTTAAATACAAGCAATAAGGAATGAAAAGGGTGAAAGTACCACAGACCCAGTAGAAACTCAAATCAATACCTCCTTTGAGAATCTTTACTATGACAGAATTGAAGACACAGAAGAAATGTACAGCTGCCTTGAAATGTAAAAAGTACCAAAATTGAATCAAGAATATATAAGAACTCTCAATAACACAATAACATCCAATGAAATACAAAATGTAAGAGAGAGAGAGAGAGAGAGAGAGAGAGAGAGAGAGAGAGAGAGAGAGAAAGTCCAGGTCCTGAGGGATTCATAGCAAAGTTCTACAAGAATTTTACAGAAGGTATAATCCCAATACTCCTTAAATTCTTCAATGAAACTGAAAAGGAAACAATCCTCCCACAGTCATTCCTGGAGGAAAGTATTATACTGATACCAAAACCAGGGAAAGACAGAACTAAAAAAGAGAACTACAGACCAGTGTTGCTCATGAACATACATGCAAAAATCCTCAATAAAATCCTAGCAAATAGAATACAGCAAAATATCAAGAAGATTATACACCTTGACCAGGTAGAATTCATCTCAGGGAAGCAAGGATGTTTCAATATATGCAAATCTATAAATGTATTACACTATATCAATAGAGCCAAATCCAAGCACCACATGATTATCTAACATAGAAAAGGCTTTTGACAAGTCCAACACTCATTCATGTCCAAAGTCCTACA